CATAGCCAGTATTATTGGACATGGTAATAAGGGGCCTCATTACAAGAGATGGCCGGGGGCCTCAAACATGTTTAATCCGGCCCTGAGTACTTTCATTATTTCTTATTCGTTAATTCTTTCATGCAATATTTTTTCATAATATTCTTACCTTCAATATAATGTATATACAGGGTGAGTCATTTTAAGTGACGGACTAAAATTTCTCCAAAACTATAGGAGATACAGAAAAATGTTTCAGACAAAAGTTGTATGGTTTCAAGGGGGACATAAGATGGTACCATTGGTTTGACCATGAAGAGTTATTTGAAGGTCACATGAAGGTCACCTTCAATTTCTTAAGTGGAATCTACATTTTCTCTTTACATATTCTTGTAGCTTATCTCGAGAGCTTTCCAAAACACTACAATTAAGTACCTTTTCGTTAAGTACTTTTTGAGTTATAAGGCTTGAAATCATTTCTTAATTTTACATAAATCATAAAATATCTTGTAAAATATTCATTTTTCGATTATCTTATATTACTACTTTTATGTACAAAATAATGAGAGGAATCAATTGGTGTAAAGAAAACATACAGTTGTTTTTAAGAAAAAATATGTAATTGTTAATTGCAAATTACATATTTTTTCTTAGAAACAACTATGTGTTTTCTTTACACCAATTGATTCCTCTCATTATTTTGTACATAAAAGTAGTAATATAAGATAATCGAAAAATGAATATTTTACAAGATATTTTATGATTTATGTAAAATTAAGAAATGATTTCAAGCCTTATAACTCAAAAAGTACTTAACGAAAAGGTACTTAATTATAGTGTTTTGGAAAGCTCTCGAGATAAGCTACAAGAATATGTAAAGAGAAAGTGTAGGTTCCATTTAAGAAATTGAAGGTGACCTTCATGTGACCTTCAAATAACTCTTCAAGGTCAAACCAATGGTACCATCTTATGTCCCCCTTGAAACCATACAACTTTTGTCTGAAACATTTTTCTGTATCTCCTATAGTTTTCGAGAAATTTTAGTCCGTCACTTAAAATGACTCACCCTGTATATATAATACATAATTTTTGAATTTTGCTGTTTATAATCATTAATAATTAAACATAATTACATATTATTACATTATTCTTACCTTTTATTATTATTTTATTGCTATATTAAAATATCAAACTTATATTTAATTTATAAAATGTAAATAGTTTATTTTTTTTTTAGAATAATAATATATGTGTAATTACATTTTTAATATCAAAATATTATATATATATATATATATATATATATATATATATAGATCATATTATATCATATATAGATATATAGATCCTTTCTTTATATATATATATAGATCATTCATTTGGATGGTGTTCAGGCACGTCCGCCAAAAATGGCTCAGTTTAACAATGGCAATATGTCTTACGAATTATTAATTAAATCTAACACTATTGTTTCGAATTTGGGAATATTCGATCCAATAAGTTTAGTGAATTCAGAACCTGAACCGGTTGAACTTTGTGAAGTTCTCAATACTACAAATCGAATTAGTGAGTATTTTTTCTTATATCTTTTTTATATATACTTCTAATTTTATACTTTTAATTTTTATCGTTTCCAATTTATTATTATATTTTTATAACAATTTAAAATATATAAAGTATGATATAACACATAAATTATTATTTAATAATATATAAATTATATATTTATTAACATATTTATAAATATATAATTAATACTTATTTATTACAATAATATAGTTATCACAAGTTTTATTAATACATTCAAGATTGTCAAATACTGTAAAATATATTTTTTTATAACGAATATTTTTTCATAATTAATATATCTTTAATAATTATTATATTATTATATTTTGCAATTGTAATTATTATATTTTAAATATTATTTTAAGCAATATATTTATATATTAATATGAACAAAAAATATATTTAAAAAATTAAATGATCAAATGCTAACATTAATAGATTATAAAGAAGTGCGCACGGTTTTTATGTAAAATGGAGTCCCGGTCAAATTGGTTATATGGTGTTTGTATAAAGAAAAACTCTATAAAGAATAAAATACATTAACATATCTGATGATGGCCTGATGATGGAGGTCAATTTTGAAGATTTAAGCTATAACTTAAGAACTATTAATTATCTGGCCTATTACTATTGAAACTTTTGTTCAATAAGTCATAATTTACATCATCTTAAAATTTCAGCAAATTTAACCGGGATTAACTCCATTTTACATAAGAATCGTGCGAGATTCTTCGTATATATTTGTTTATACACATGTAAAACTATTTCTAGAAATTTATCATAATTTTAATAATATAATAAAATATAATTTTATGTTACTTTTTCTTATTAAATGTTTATTTTACAGTCTTAAAAGGATATGTAAAGACAAATTTTTTAACCACGCACAATAATAAATTAAATAAATTGATTGGCTGTGGCTCTATCACAGATGGAATATATAAACTCGAGGTACACATATTGAACTTTACGGACGATGATTATTCAACATATAATATATGGAAAGGCGATCATATAGAAATTATTGGTATAATGCAAAGTACAGGTAAAAAAAGTTTGTAATACATATATACAGTAATACAGTAATTTTTTAGAATCATGAAACTAATAATAAAAGTATTAATTCTTTAATTTTGGATTATACATCCAACATAAATTTTTAAATTTTATACTGTGTGTATATATATATATATATATATATATATATATATATATATATGTATGTATTGTATATATAGAGAGTGTTCCGAAATTCGGAAATTAAAATATCATTATAGCGAAAAGATTTTTGAAAAAATAAATTTAAAAAATTGTTAAAACGTTCAATATGATTAATTTCTTCTATTAGCGAAGATGAAATTTTAAGATTAATTTTATTTTTGTATTTTTATATGTTATATTTTTATCCATTTAATATATACATTATTAATAATTTTATACATAACGTCTCTTTACAAATAAAACAAGATTTCTCACATATACAGTTTATTAATATTATAATGAATAAAAATTGACATTTTCATAATTTTTTAGCTATGCCACCACATTTAGTAGTCAACAGCTTAAAAGATATAAAAAAAATTGCTGGACATATGCCAATATTAGAACTTCTGAATGGTACATTTACACTTAAAAAGAGAAAAGTAGAAGATTCTAATGACACACAGGTACAATTATTGTGCAAATATTAAAAAATTATATTTATATTCTTATTTTATAAATCTTATTATTAAATTTATCCAACTTATACAGGATTCACACTACGTCCGATATCCGACGTAAGATATCCAATATCCAAGAAGAAAATTTGGTTTCTAGAGTCTCTGGCAGAGTCTCTAGAAATCAAATTTTTTTATTGAGTATCGGAGTCGTACGTCGGATATCGGATGCTATATGAATCCTATAATATTTATTAAAACAATTTGTCGTATTTCTTATACACATAACATAAAGTTTATTGAATGCAATTTATTTATTTTTTTAATAAATTGGCAATTTAAAAAAAATAAATAATTAATATAAAATTTTTTAAGATTTTTGGTTTCTCTTTAACATTATAATGAATTATGACGTCGTAAGCGAAAAATCATATAAATTTTAACTTATACACACGCGCACGCAAACAGACGCATACACACACATGTATATAATAAATTTATATTATTTCAACACGATACGAGAAAAGAGCGATTTAGAGCCATTTTTTTCTCGTATCGTATTGTTTCATACATAAAAGAGCCTAATTCTTTATCAATTTATTAATTTGTTATATTATTTCTTTTTTGCAGAATGGAAGCAAGAGGCATTCAATTTAATTACGTCAAAAATTAATAAAATAAGAATTAATAAGAAAATGTTTAAATTTAAATTTTAATGTTTTTAATGTATTTTATTATTGAATAAAATGTAATCTTAAATTAAAGAAAATGTATTTAAATATTGTGTACATATTGTCTTTTTATTTATCCCTCTCTTTCGCTTGTTCTTTACCTCTTCATTAATTTTAAATAAAGTTTTTATTCTGCTTTCTCCCTCTCTTCTCCTCTTTTTGATTCCCACTTTATTTTTCTTGTTCTCTCGTCCTTTCCTTTCTATTCTTTTAACTTTAAATAAAAAATAAGTAACATTATTATCTAATATTATCTAATTAATAAGATAAGAATTAATAATATAATGTTCAAATTTAAATTTTAATGTTTTTTATTTTATTATTGAATAAAATTTAATCTTAAATTAAAGAAAATGTATTTAAATATTGTATACGTATTGTCTTTTTATTTATCACTTAAAAATAAGTAACATTATTATCTAATATTATCTTCTTCTCTCTTTTCCTTCAATCTATTTTTTTCTTTTTCTCTTTTGCTTATTTAAATCAGGTATTATTATTATTATAAAAACGATTTCGCTCATCTTACTACGCACTATGTGATTTGTCGATTTGCCTACAGTTTTACGATTTTACGACAAAAATTCTTTTACGTGCAAAGACTCTAATCTCGAATAATTTACGCTCTTTATTATTTACGGATGCAAAGATGTGCATGCTGTATGGTTTGATGATTTGAAAGTGATATCATTAAAAAAAATTTGTCAGTATCATTGATAAATAAATTTTTTATTTTGCTTATTATTTTGCATATTTATATTATGAGAATTTTATTCTTAAAATAAATTAAATTATTATTATTACTGCAGTTGTTACTTTAATTAAATCACTTTTACTATATTTAAAAAACAAAATTATATATATATTTCTTTATATACGTAATTTTTAACATATCTATTATTCCTTTGATTACTAAGATAAACTCTTAATGCTTGCCAAGAACGAACTCGCGAAAAAGCAACATAAAGTTGTCCATGATTGAAAACATCTTTACGAAGATCTAATCCAATTCTATCAAATGTCTGTCCTTGTGATTTGTTAATTGTCATAGCAAAAGCTAATTTTATTGGAAATTGTCTTCTAGAAAAAGTAAAAGGATATACATTTTCACAATATAACGTTATACGATTCAAAAAAACAATATCTCCTGTTTTATCACCTGTTAAAATTTTACATTTTAACAGATGATCTGCAAGCTCTATAATCATTAATCTAGTACCATTACAAAGACCTTCATTGATACTTAAACTAATTAACATAATGATACAATTTGGTCTTAAACGTAATTCATGAGGAGGAAGAGATGGTGGAGATAAACTATTTAAATATTCCGGTAACAAAGTTTCACTTATATCACCATTATCGTTATTAATAGCACTATCTACACTTGTATAAATTCGTTTATGAGTTATATCTAATAATTCCACAACTTTTTTATTTATCTCATCTACATCAACATTTCTTGCAGAAAGTATCGCACATTTAGACATTTTAATAAACTCTGTTTTTCGTATTAAATCTCCATATATATCTTCCACAATATCAGCATTATTAGACGCTATACAATATTCAGGAATTTGTATATTATCATTAAAATCATTTAATGTACCATCTCCAATATCTAATACAAATTTTGCAAATTCTATTTCTTCTGGAAAAACTCGCATATTTTGTGTTAAAAAAATTTTTACAAAATGTTTCCAAATAGAACTAAACTTAATAGAAAGATTCACAATTTCACTTCGAGTAGCATGTACTTTAATAGGCAAAAGTTGTCTAAAATCACCACCTAATAAAATAACTTTTCCACCAAAAGGAAAATCGTTATTCATGATATCACGCAATGTTCGATCCATAATTTCTAAAGCATATCGTGGTGCCATTGGTGCTTCATTCCAAATAAAAATATCAATTTCTTTTAGATATTGAGCTTCCTTTGACTGGATTTTAATAGATGATGATGAATCAGCAAATAATGGAACTGGTAATCCGAATATCTTATGAACTGTTTTTCCAGTAGGTAGTAATGTGGCTGCAATTCCCGTAAAAGCCATTGTACACACACGCTTCTGTCTAATTCTAGCTAAATAGTATATAGTTGTGTATATAAATGTTTTACCTGATCCACCTGGGCCATCAATATAAAAACAATTATTACAATTATTATTATTCTCTAATCTATTTAATAATATATCAATTATCTCTTTCTGCTTGTTATTTAATTGTTTATATTGTTTGGTACCTATTTCCATAGCTTTTTCAAGTGTTTCGTAATCTTCTTCTTCAATATCTTCTATTAATTGTTCCATTTGAGGAAAATCAACAAAATTTTTACCTTCAGCACGAAGTATATTATTAATTTGCACATAAGCTTTATTTTGTCCTTTTAACATACCAAAATGTCGAACATAATCTTCAGACATAGCTACTTTAAAATTTTCCCACAACTCTTCAGGATGTAATGGTTGACAATGTAATAATATACGTACAAATAATCTACGAAGTTGTCTTGGCATCATCCAACCAACAGCTTCGTTCATAGCTCGTTTCCATTCATCATCATCTTCAATCAAACCTAAAGCTAAACATGCCGCTGAAAATGATGGATGTAATTTTCCATCTACAGTTCTCAAATCATTAAAACTTGTAGATCCCTTTACTGTAAGTAATAATAAACGTAAATGATATAATTCTGTTTGTGTTGGGCTAACAGAATACATTCGTCCTATACAATTATAATGACTTTTGCGTTTGACCCAACACGATACATTTCTATTATTAATTTTTTCCTTTTTAAATGTATAATAACGTGGAATTTCTATATATAAATACTGTCTTGCATTTTCATCACGTAAATTCAATGAAAAATAATCTATTAACATAGTAACTTGATTTAAAGCAGAAATCATTACGTCGCCAATGTTTTCATTTTCAATTATAATATTTTGTTCATTAGGAAGATGAATTGGTAGTCGCATTATTGAATGACTCTTATCTTGTAACTTCTTACCAAGAATACGCCAACTGGCCTCTACAGGTCCAACATAACGAGCTTCGATATAATTATGTATCTCATCATGATCAATAGTTACATTTTCTGTTACTGGTTCAATAGTTATAGCAGCAACATCATGTCCTTTATAAATATATTTGTACAGATATTTAACTGATTTGATACTTGAAACAATTTCAACATTAATATGACAATTAAATATAATCGATAAAATAGAACAATATGGAACTACATAACGATTATCAACTATATATCCACCAGGAAGTTCAAAATTTTTGCCATTATTTCGTCGACGATAATAAGGATAAGCATCTTCATCCTTCTGGTCTCTTCATGGTACGGTTTAGGGTAATTTTTCGAACATTTTCCATCTACCAAACACCAATCACCACAAGGTCCATGAATCATATGTCTCATAACTATATCATGTAAGATACGATTCTCGTTTGGATCAGGAATTTCCGCAGAAATATATTTGTCAACAATCTGTGGAGTTGTTATTTTAAAATTATATTTTAATGTGATTAGTATATGGACATGTGGCAATCCGCGTTTTTGAAATTCAATAACGTACACAAACGCTGCTACTTCACCAAAAAACTTTTGCTTAACAATTAAATCAAGTAAATAATCTTTTTTAATGTTAAAAACACGAGCACAAATATCAGGTCTATCACAAGCTTGTTGACCAGGCAAAAGGTTTTCCTCAATTTCACGCCATTTTGGAATGCAAGTCATAGTAATGAAAAGATCTGGCTTACCAAATTTACTAACGATAGCCATTGCGTCTTGATAATTTTGTAACATATTACGTGGTGATCCAATAAACGTAGAAGGAAGTATAACCATTTTTCCAATACGTCCATTTAAGTCATTTGCCATAGTTTGTAAATAATCTCTCAAACCTTGGTATGTTTCAGAACGTAATTCTTTTTGATGTGTTTTGCAATAATCAATTCTATCTTTTTCAATTTTTACATAACTATCTACAAGCCACTGTTGAAATAAACGACGTCCTAATAAAAAAACATTAAATTCATCACGAATAGCCATTCGATATTTAATATATTGTCCTCTAGTTATTCGTTTATTACTATTTAATTTTGTTAAATCACGATGCCATCCTCGAGTACCATATGGATAAAACAATGGATACATCCATGGTTCAACATTGGGATCCATAATACTAACTTTTTGCAAAATTTTTTAGTATTTTTATTTTATTAGTATTAGTATTTTTGTTACGTATTGTAACATATGATTCAGGAATTTCTCCATCAGCTGTTGTATAAAAAACAGCAGCAACTTCATTAGTTCTTTGAACATTATATCGACGTCGATCCATACCTGGTTTTAAAGTAAATAATAATTGCAATTCTGGTAATCGGCTACCAGATTCTATTTCTAAACGGTTATTCTGATTTTTTAATTCTTCACCCATCATCTGATATGATTGAGCAAATACATTAAATTCACGCATTATATATTCTAGATTTTGCACAATTTCAAAATCTAAATATGAATTTTGACTAAGACGATGATTTATTGCTTCATTTGAATCCACAATAAAAAGTTGACCATAAGTAGGATTTTCATTTTGTGCAGCATATAATGCTGTATTAATTTGATAATAAATCTGCCCTTGTATTTTGAAACAGTATGGACCAGATCGTCTATTTTAAAAATTAACTAAATTAGCATTAAACGATGCAAATGAAAACGAACTATTATAATTACGAATATGTTGAAAGAAATTATTAGATTTTACATGAGTTCCATCAAATAAAGAATGAAGAAATTGAGGAATCTCAGGCAATGGTTGCAAATATACTGCGCCATGATACAGCAATCGTGAAACGAATTTCCTTTATTAAAAACTTTCTCAGCTACAAAATGTTTTGCATTACAATGAACACAATATACATCCATGGGACCAATATAATATTCAGTTATGTCATAAATTGACATTGTATTACTTAAAAAAGATTGATTTTTCTGTCGTAATCGATAACGAGATTGATTTTCTGCATAACGCTGCTGATATATTGATACAATATTTCCAGAATTTTGTCCAATTATTTCATTTGAGTCTAGTACACAATTATCTCGTGTTGTTTGAGAAATACAAGCAAATGTTTGATGTAATAATATATTATCAGACAAATGTTCTTCATCATTATCATTTAATTCTTTTATATAATTACCACGTATTGTACCAGCAACACAAATAGTATTATTTTTATACTCAACTGATTTTAATATACTATTTGATATTTTTACAATTTGATGACGACGATGTTGATTCATTGCATTTCTTTCACGACGTCGTCGTTGAAACTCTTTCTCTTCTTCTAAAGTACGCTGTATTTTGCGTTTTGACATTATATAAAAGTAAAAATATATTATATTAATTAAAAAATATACAATACACAATAAACAATAATAACAATAAATAAATTTATTGTAAGAAAAAATATTTAATAAAAGGTCTTTTCAGAATTAGGAATATTTAATGACAATATATTTGATCGTAACACAAAAAGATTAAACAATTATAATACGTTTACACGTTCAACAACACTTTATATGCATAGAAATATACAAACTAAATTACATCAATTTTACAAACGTATAATCAGTTTTACAAACGCATTTAACATTTAAATTCACACACACAAATTAACTAAAGTTTCGAGAAACAATAAATATAACAATAATAATAATCATTATCATTAACATTGTCATCATAATCATCATCAATGTCATCATCATAATCATATCATCATTATCATCATCATTTATCATCACTTATTATATTAAATCTTTTATTTCTCTTTATCACAAATTTTACTATTATCTTTTATTTTACTGTTATCTTTCGTCTTACTATTATCTTTTATCTAACAATAATCATCATCATTAACATTATCATCATAATCATCATCAATATTATTCTCATAATCATATCATTATCATCATCAGTATCATTATCATTATTACTTTACCACTTACTAAATTGTTTATTTCTTTTTTTCCACAAATTTTATCACTTTTTTTACATTAGCAATGTGTACCTGAAAATAAAATAATAAATATTAATATCAAATAAAAAAATAATTACATTTAATAATTTTTTAAGAATTATTGTGTGTGTATATATATATGCATATGACTCAATACTCGATACTCATTGGTCCATAAGGTCTTATGCTATGTGTATGCAGCTTATGCAATTTGTGTGCAATAGCCCTTAATCTCTACGATCATTATACCCACTTTTATGTTGAAAATATTATTCTATCTTTCTTTAGGTTGAGTTCCAAAACGTCCTCTCCAAGGAAAATTTTACTCGATATAATATATGTTACGTGTATTATATATTTCGAGTGAATTTTTCCTCGAAAAGGACGTTTTGAAACCCAACCTTAATATATAATGAGCAACAAAGATAGAATGATGCTTTCAGTATGAAAGTGAGCATAACAAACGCAATAAATCTAATATTATATTAATAATATTAAATATTATTGCCTAATTATATTTCTTCTCCTTTCTCCTCTTTCTTTTTTCTTCTCTCTCTCTCTCTCTCTCTCTCTCTCTTACCTATTTTTCTTTTTTATCTAAAAACAAAAAAAAATTATGCATATATATAATATTAATTTATAGAAATGCATATATAGCATTTTATAATTCATATATTCTTTGAAATCATATTTTTTTTTAGACTTTATAAGCATAATTACAAAAATGTGAATTTTAAAATGCTAGGCTTTTTAAAATATGGTCTTCCATTACCTGATATATTTCTTTTCTTTCCTTCTTTCTCTTTCTCTCTCCCGCTTTCTGTCTCTTTCTTCTTTCTTATCTATTTTCTTACACTTAAAAAATAGATAACAAATTATTAAGAAATAAAAACTATTATAATTCAATTATATAAATAACAAATTGAATTATATAAATAACAACTTACCTGTATGCTCATGAATTTTCATATAACCTTTTTTTTCAAACTTATTATACAAGCACAAGAGCTGTCACATACACGAACTAAGTTCAGGACGTCAAGGCGCATCGCGATAACCAATCAGCATCCGCAGAAAAGCGGCAACAATCACTTCGAGATTTGCGACTAATCGATATAACATGCCTTTTTTACTAAAGGGATTACGTGACTTTTTCTAATTGCTATATTTAAGTTTTTATTTTCAACTCAATAATTTTATTCTTTTCAACTTAATATCTTACTTTTTTATAAATATTTATAAATATTTTTATAAATATTATATATGGTATTAATGTATATTTTATTTTAGGTGCGGTAAGAATTTATTTTCCGGAAGCTACTGAACAAAATATTTCAGAGCTCATCAAATCTTGGCTAAGACATGTAAGCGAACGTAGTATTAAGAAAAAGTATATTGCTTTTTCATATCTATAGACTTTAAAATTAAAATAATATGTTTATGAATTACAAAGTTTTAAAAAAATTAATATAATTTCAATATTATTTTAAGCTTGAATAAGACAAAGAAATCTTTGATGCAAAAAGAAAACCAATATAACATAAAACAGCATACAAATAGACGTCTACAAAAAGAAAAGTATATAATATAATATAAATATAATTTTTGTGAAAGAGTGATGGCAAATTTAGCCCATTTTTTGGACCTCAAATTTCGAACTTTTTTTCATGCCAAATAGTACTATTAGATGAAACATTAATCTCAGTAAAATTTCAAGATGAACATAGGCACGATTCCGGAGATACAAGGGGGTGAAAGTGATGATTTCCAGTCAGGGTATATCGCATAAGGAAAAATACGTGGCTGAAGTTCATGTAATATTGAGGATATATTCTATCGAATGGATTCATTGTTTAGAGAATGAACGATCTATTATTTACCGCTATGGGGGAGGCGTGCTTTATAAAACACCCTGAAAGATAGAGTCTCGCTTCATGACGCATTGACAAGTTCTCTCGCAGTTGAAATACTGTACTATCACATGAAGTATATTCCAAGAATCTATCTACATACTATTCTAATGTATTCTATTCTATTCTTGCTTGTTTGTTTTCCATTTTTTTGTTTGTACGATACTTTAACTTGTGTCATATAAGCGCTCGGTCTATTTATATATATCTATGGTTTCTCGCTATTTTTCTCTTGTTTCATCTTAATTTTTTTTACATTCTCTTGTCTCTTCAGGTATATTTTTTCATATCTTGACGATCGTTGATTCTTCAATAAGACAATGCCTTTCACTAAATGTTTAGGCTGTAATGACCAAAAAAGATCGAAAAATGATAAGTTTTTTCCTATCAAAGACACATCAAATTCGTTGATGATGATTAACAATTTGCGGAAAAATAATCCAAAGAAACGGAAATTAGAAGAATTGAATCACATTCCATTACAGAGCAAAATATGTAAAAACTGTTACGAAAGTAATCAGTCAAAAATCTCGATCAAAAGCATCTCGTCAAAAGCATCTCGATCTGTGAAAGGCGGTGTCACGTGTCACTTCAACTCTATCTATTTCGGGGAATTTTCATGCTAGACGAAAACTAAGGTCATATTTCAATCCGGCATAAAAATCCATAAGAAATGGTATGTTTCACTTCGTTATATATATTTTATTCCTTGGTATGGATACTTAAAGAGTTTCGTGTACTTTCATGGATTATGGAGAATTCATCACTTTCAACCCTTTATCTCCGGAACCGCGCTTATGCTCATCTTAAAATTTCTCTGGGATTAATGTTCCATCATACAGTACTATTTGGCATAAAAAAAAGTTTGAAATTCAAGGTCCAAAAAATGGGCTAAAAAACAAGTCTTTTTGCCATCACTCTTTTACTAATTTTATTAATCTAATAAAAATTTATGTAGCATGGATAAGAGAACAGAATCTTTTCCGCAAGAAGACAATCAAGAAGCAGATGATGATGATGATGATAAAACTTTAGACGAATTAATTGGTCCAAATCCCTTTTAAGTAATGTATACAGGCTGTCCGCAGTTAATTACATCACCCTCTATGTGCAGATAGAATGAGTTTTGCAAAAATCGCAAAATAGTAGAACTTTCTACATTTAAGTGTTATTTTTGGTTAAAGTTTACTCATGACAGATGTTTTTCCTGAATAATTTGTGTTTTTCTTTTATTATATTTTTTTATATTTTTAAATTTTTCAAATTCAAATTTTTATATATATATATATATATATAGTTTTTTTGTTTTCTTTCAATAAATGTAATAAGTGCAATAAATTTGCAATGTGCAATAATATTAAAATTAATAAAAATTTGTATACAAATTTGTATAAAAATTTGTAATGTGTACATAATTTTTTAATTTATCCTGAAATAATCCTGAAAAAATCCTGAAAAAATATGCATATAACCTAAATTAATCCTAGAAATAACATATAAAGCACCACAATGATGTGTCCTGGACTAATTTAGGATGTATTGTAGACGTTTTAACCCAGACAGCACATGGATGTCCTCTGGAAATCTAAAGGACATCCAGTATGGACAAAATGGATATCCTGTGGACATCCTATTCCAATCCCAGGATATCTTCCGGATGTCTTGAGGAAGGGCAAATGATCGCTCATTTTTAGTCCCTGAATCATCCCAAGGATATTATGTAGGACATCCCAAGGATATTGTATAGGACATTACAAGGACTTTTATAGGACATAAAAATAATGTTTTTAAATTGATATTTCTCAGAAAAATAATGTTTTATTACGTTCATATTTATAATTAGATTTATATTAAATCACAGAAGCTTTATTTTTATTATAATTATATCACTAAAGTTATAACCAAAGTTATAAACTTTTAAATAAAAATTATATTTATATAGATATATATGTTAATTTGAACATTCAGAATGTCAAAGTAATTACTAAAATAATACTAAAATAGTAATAATTTTAAAAAATGCTACATAAAAGATAAACTTAATAAAGGAAAGTAATAACATTAAATTATTAATGTAATGAGACTACAAAATAATAACATAAAATACATTGCAATTTATAGTTTGTACGTGAAACATTGCACTCATTAATTTTCGCAAAACAAAACTATTAAAAATAAAATAATTATAAATAAGTATATACATTTCATGTTCCAGCTCTATATATTTAGCAATTAAATAAAAGCTTTGGAAAAATTAAACACTAAAAAAATTAAAAATTAAAAAAGTATGTACAGTTGTTTCATTCATTAATAATTTAAAAAAAATCATAAATCTGGCTTAAGAAGTTATAAGTACTTCTTATAGTATAAAGAATAAATTTTATTCTTTATTTTCCACTCCAGGGTTAGTTCTAGTTTCTTTGCTGCAAATAAAAATAAATTTATTACATCATATATATATATATATATATATATATATATATATATACATATATATATATATGCGTATATATAAAATATATATGTAAATATATATATATATATGTATATATGTAAATATATATATGTATATATATTTGCGTTTCGAAATATTTTAAAACTTACTCGATTTTCTTTACATGACGTTCGTTTGCATGTCGCAACCATGATTTTATTGGTTCAGCAATATAATGATCTGTTGTTTCCGCAAATTGGTTTTGTACAACACCTAACACATAAAAAATTATTTCTGCATTAATATAACTTATGTGCGTGCGTGCGTGCGTGCGCGCGCGCGCGCGCGCGCGCGTGTGTGTGTGTGTGTGTGTGTGGCGTGCGTGTGTAATTTATGTGAACATATAATGTGCATATAAAATTAGAATATTTGCAATATTTACTTACTGAATATAATCTTTCGTAATTGTAAGTCATAAAACACTCGCTTTTTTTTGCCTCCAACATAACTAAACTTGCTAGCTAATTTATCAGACATTAATTTGCGTAGGAGATTATATGTTACTCCTCTAACATCATTTCCACCAATTTGTGACAACTGTTTGATCTATAAAAATTAATATCATTATAGAGAATAAAATACATTTCATATTTTATTTTACATAAATATTTGACTTCTATTTTTAAGAAATATTCACCAGTTCTTTGCGATTAATACTGCCTTCTATTAGTGATTTTTCTAATTGTTCTAAATCTTCAATAGTGTCAATTGGAAAATTATCCATTAAATGCTCTCTAATTTCGTTTTCCTGAATGTTTTCATTTGAATTAAATGTTTCAATACGTTGTAATATAATATTTAATTTATTATTAATAAGTTTTTGTTGTTCATCTAATGAAAACATTTTAAATCCCATGTCTGTAAGTTTCCTTATTATGTAACGTTGAAAATCAAAGGTATCTGAAAATATAAAATAAAAAAAGAATAATTAAAATATAAAATATATAAAACGTAATTTCATAAATTAAATCAATACTTACAGTTACTAATATTTGAGCTAGCATCGTTATTACTTTTATAAAATTTACCAAAAGACTTGCTATTATACAAACTATCTTCATCTTCATTAATTTCTGTAGAAAAGAAAATAATATAAACATATTTAAGAAATTATATGATTAATCTGATTATCTGATTAATTTAATGTATAAATTACCTTCATCATTGTTAGCAACTAAATCATGATGTATTTCCTTTCTCTTCATTTTAGATATGTTAGTATGTGTCGACAATTTCTCTAATTCTTTCTTCTTGTGGATAGTTGTAATATTTTCTGTTTTCAAAAATATGTATTTAAAATTATGGAAACTATATACTCGTATATATATATATATATATATATATATATATATATATAATATTCTGTTGTTCTTGTTTACCTGTTAACTCCTGGCTTGGTTTACCATTATAATTAATCTTTTTATTGCATGTAGTTTTTATTTGTGGAATCGTAGGAAGAGGTGGTAGAATCTCTTCTCCATCAGTATCACTGCTTGATATCATTCTTTTAGCTCTGTCTTTTCGTGATTTTTTTAAATTTTCAGAATCACTTTCTGAATTAATATCCGAGATAAATTCTGCTTTCTTTAATTTTATTAGTCCTTTTTCATATGTTTCTAAAACACAAAATAATTTTATTAATATTTAATGCAATTAAAAAATATTTAATATAAAATAATTTGTAATTTATATAACACTAACTTTTTTCTTCATATGTGTGTGTGTGTGTGTGTGTGTGTGCGCGTGTGTGTATGTTAATTAGTGTATATTGAAATAATTTTTGATCTAGGAAGAATTAATGTTATATAAATTACTAATATATGTATATATGTATATAAATATATGGAGAGACACACGATTAACCACATTGAAATTGACCACAGCCATTCACAGCTACTGGTGCTTAGAGTTTTTTCACTAGATGGTTGCTGTGAATGGCCTGTGGTCTATTGCAACGTGATCAAACGGATACTTCCTATATACATGTATACATATATGTATTATATATTTACATACACACACACACATACATATATATATATATATATATATATATATATATGTGCACACAACATATACAAAAAATAATTTCTTTTATTACTTACGTGCAGTAGCTAGTATTCTTTTTACATCATATAAGAACCAATTATTATCATATAATATACGTTTTTGTACAGCTTTGGTAAATCTTGCATGCGAGGTAAACTGAGGCCAACGAGCAGCAGTTTTATTCTCTGTTAGCCAAGAACTAGGGATCATTTGGAGACCGTCTTCGAACTCGACGATAGAATATAAATCCTCCATGATAGAATTTAAACTACATAATGGTATACAATATACAATATGGTATATACATAATGGTATACAATATACAATAATGGTAATAACTAATAATAAGTAATTAATGCAATAATGGAACTACATAATAATATACAATAATGGTAATAAATAATAATAAGTATTTAATGCAATAATGGAAAAACTGCAAATTTATTACTGTCTAATGGTAATTTAACATATTTAGTTTTAATATCTTTTATTGGCCATATCTTCAGTTCTGTAGATAAGTTATATACAATAAATATTCCTATAAGAGATGAGGGACAAGGTTTATCATATAAATCTTCTTTATGACAGAATTGATTGCATATAATGACATTCATATTAAGCTCTTTATGATAAGCTATATTTTTTACTTCCACAATGCTTCCATCTGTCAAACTACAACAATTATCTGCCAATGTATCAATGCGTACAGTTGTATTTAAGCATCTTATTATTTTATACTGTGGATTAGAACAATTTTCTATTAAAGGGCCGTTTACATGAGAAGATTTAAAATCTACTATAAAATGAGATGATGTTTCAAGAGAATTTTCTGCTGTATTGATATTACATTGTTCATGTTCAATATATCTCCGAACAACCTGTTGTAGAGGTTTGTCATGTTTTTTTAATAACTTTTTCAACATTTGTAAATAATTTTCATATTTGAAGGAACTAAAACCATCTAATGGACCAAACTTTTTAACATCTTGTGCTAGGTGGATAAGACCATGTACATTATAAGAAATATTATGAGTACCATATAACAATGCAAATGTTGATACAAAATATTGGAGTAGTTCTTGAGCATAATCAATGAAATTTTGAAACTGCAAGCAACATAAAATTCTAATTGCCACATGTAAAGTTAAAAAATGATTATATAAATTTTTTTGCAGAAATGATTTTAAAACTACAGGACCAATATATAGTAGAAAATTTCTAAATTCGGTGGCTTTCCATAATTTCACAAAAACAAGTGATCTTGTCTTACGTACAAATTCACATGGTACGTATAATTTTAATGCTTGTTCCAACTGCAATGATATTGTCTCAACTTTACGATTTTGTAAACGAACTTTAAGTTCTCCAAATAACCACATATATAACAATTTCCGTGTAACTCCTAAACAAACGAGATGCATATAATCCAAAGGTATATTGTGTACAAGATCCAAATTTGGAATCTCTGAAATAACTGAATGTCCAATATGGTAATTTTCATCCTTTTTTAAACGAAAATCATTATCTGTTCGTAGTTGAGCATTTATTTCAGGAAAACACATTTTACCGTTAATAAAACTACCTTCGGTAATACATTTTGTGCAACTCGAATAGCCATTATGTCCTTTTGTTTGTAATATAAATGATTTGGCTGGCGCATCGCATATAATTGCTTCTATGATACATGGAATATTTTTATTATTAATAATAATTCCATCTTTACATAGTATTTTTGTATCGTTTACAAATTGTTGAAGAAAATCATTTGGATTAGATGGTTTTTGTGTACCATAATAAAGACCAATAATAAATACGTTTTTAGACTCAGTTATAGATCCCAAGATTGGCCAAAATTGTTGTTGTGATGATTTAGATAAGGGGAGTCCATCAACATTTATAGATAATTTGATACTAGTTACATTTTGTGGAATTGATGATATAATACTTAATATTGCTTTTGACAATCCAAAGTGATAATATTGGCCACCAGCACAAACATCTATATTAGTAGTATTTCGAGGAGTACGTACAACACTTCTTGCATCAGATGGAATTTTAAAACTACAATCTTTACACATATATTGTCTTATACCTTTTAATAAAGAATGTAATGATGATTGTGGTATGCGTTCTGTAACTGCCCAATGAGCTAAAAACTTTTTAAAATCAATATTTTGATCTGATCTCCTATCTGATCCGCTATCTGATTTGCTATTAAAACTGCCATCTAATAATGTATTATTTGATGTACTATTATTTTCTGAAGCTAAATCAATTTCTGTATTATTATTATCAAAGTCGTGTACAATATCATGATTGGATAATGACTCACTTGATGCGCATTCATTTGATACTATATTTTCATTATATACTACATTGTCATTATGCACCATATTGTTATTATGTACTATATTATCATTATGTACTATATTGTCATTGTGTAAATTCTCAATGTGTGATTGTGTGTTTTGATTAGATGTAGAAGCAAAAGAATTGCTATCAAAACCTTTTATTATCATTTCTGTTTCTAACTTAGCTATTTTTCTTCGATATGAGGAACTAATTATATGTTTGTATTTATTAGAATTTTCACGCGACATTTTTTATATTCCTACAAATAAATTTTCATAATAAAATTTAAAAAATTAATTAATTAAACATTACTTTGTATAATAAAGACTAAATTCTTATCGCATCAAGTCTCATCGAATAAATACTTCATACGATGGGAAATACTTTTTAACCTTTTTTATCTTAATACAAAAGAATATATATATATATATATATATATATATATATATATAATAAAGATTACATTATTTACATAAAAATATATTTATATATAACTTACGTGTATCATCGAAATCAGCTTATGTCCAAAAACCTTCAAACTGATGTTTCGCAAGATAAAAAACTGGTGTTAACGTATCCACCTAAAACAATGTAGAAAGAATTGCATTAAGTAGTTATGATTATTTCTTAACAAACACAAAGTAACGATAACATATATGACAATAATTTATTATAATTTTCCATTCAAACTATAACGTAAAATATGCCTTGTAACAATTACATTGAATAAGAATATGTTATGTTATTCTTTATGTTTGCTTAAAAAGAAGTTTGGATAGTTCTAAAAACATTTATTAATTAAAATTTATTCATTAATAATTGCTAAACGCTGATTTTTAACAACAGCAAGCAATGAATATAACCTAATCTAACCTAATGTTTCTACAATTATTCTGTAAAAAAATATCATGTTATATGTTTGTATATTGTTCATCTCAAGGAATAATTTGAAAAACAAATAATTAATTAATTTGCTAAAGAAATTACACTTACCTATATTCTTCCACTTATTGTAAAAAGATTTCAAGCTCCTGAAATAACCGGCAATACTGATCACAGTAATCACTATGGCGCGCTTATGGAGGATAGATCGGGAAACATTCCACCGGTACTACCCCACGTGACGATCTTAGCAGATATGTGATACGCTATTGAGGCCTGTTGCGCTGGCTTGCGCTACTGCACATGTGCAAGCTCACAATCTTTTCTCACGATTTTTGATTTTTGCTCTGCTACATTAGTGATGTAATGCGAATCATTGACGCGCAGTGTACTATATCCAGATGAGACTCGGAGTCGAAGTCTCATCTGTTGTGAGAAAAAGATTATATATAGTACAATTTTTTAATTACATATATATATTTATTTTATCAATTAATCGCCAAACGTAGGATATCCTCCAGACATCCAAAGGACATCCAATATAATACACAAGGACAGATATCCTACAGATATCCAGTGGTTATCCAATGAACATTTATGAAACATTTATACTTTAAATTATATTAAATATTTTGTATAACTGACAGTATCATGCATGCATATTAAATTTTCATAAAATATATTTATAATGATATCTTAAAATGTCCTGTAAATGTCCTGAGCCGTCCTGGATATATTCAGGATGATCCTGAGGATGTCTTGTGCTGTCTGGGAAAGATTATAAGATTTCCTATGAACATCCTGCAAATATCCTTAGGACGTTGAAATAGAATCTCCTGAGGATATTTCTAAGCATTATTTGAGACGCTTATTTACTATTCCTTAGAACATCCTAAAAACGTACGAGAATTACAAACAGATATCCTTAGGATATCTCATATATCCCAATAAAATTTCCTTAGAAGATCCAAAGGAAATCCTTGTGCTGTTTGGGTATCGAGTCCTGGGACAAGTTGAAAGTTGCGTATCCGACACTATACTCATGCGCTCTAAAATATTTAAGCATTGTTGTTACATCCGTTCCGTCAGAAAGATTGTTTTCAAAAGCCGGCGCGATTAAGGCTAAATGTTGTAGTCGACTTACGGAAGACAGACTTAATACGTTAGTATTTCTTAGTTCCCTCAACAAAAAATATTGGCATATTTCATAAATGGCGTTTATAACTAAGCTTCTTCATGTGATAACTTGTGCACCTGTATTTACTGTGATCTTATTATTTAAGCTGTTATTTTAAGAAGCATGAATGTTCTTACTGTACATAAAATTGATATGTACAAGAATTTTAATAATATAACGTGATATACAACATCAAATTTCTTGAATTTTTAAAAATTATTACCTACTTCTAAAAAGCTTCTGTGTTTACTTCCATTACACTATTTTTTATTTTATAAACATTGTTAACAAAACTTATTTTTATGAACATAAAATTTATTAATGTTTTCTTTGTGTAAGTATATATTTGCAGGTAGATACAATTTGGAATTACAAAAACTAAGTTGGAATTGTAATTCATCATACAACACTCAAATCATCACCAGAAACATTAACATTTTATGCTCAATTTTGTACATGGCTATGAATAAAAAGAATACTATTTAAGATATGCATACTAGGTTGAAATAAATTTTATTTATTTTAGTACGTTTTTGTTTGTCAACATTTTAATCGCTTCTTGACGGTTTCTTTCCCCTTTTAACTGCAGCTATTGAAATCAGGCGCGCTTTATTCCGATCAAAAAAGAATCGATTAATATCGATGTATTCAGTAAAACATCAATTTCCAAACATTGATTTTATTTTGCATCGATTATTTCTGAATTGATGCTTTTTTTAAACATCGCTCTCCACTAATATGTATTTCTCAATATTAGTAATATTTCTTTCGTTATTGTCAGTAATATTAAACTACAATTCATCTCTCTATTTCATATAAAATTAAAAATTTTATTCATATTTACTAAATATTTATTATATTAAAAATTTTATTTTATTTATATCATATACACATTGAACTTGTTATTTTAAATAGATAACGAACGAATAATTTTCACTAAGTCGCCAGACATTTATTGTTCGATTTATAAGATCGGTTTAATATCCGAAGCCTCTCTATTGAGATTGTATCAAAAACTAATCGAAGTAATACTTCTAATTTTATCCGTCGCTCTTTGCAAACTATATATAATTCTTATGACTAAAACTAAATACAAGAGAGATAGTGATTGTAACGGTAAATGAACGAACTAACGATTATTGGTTTTATAGTGAAATTTACTGGTTTTACAGTGAATTTTTTTTAACTGACCATAATCAGTGAGATACAAGATAGAATAATAAAAAAATAAGCGTTTTCACTAAAAATCAATAAAATACTCACTGATTCTCAGTGAAATCTTATTTTACTGTTTAAATTAGCGATATTTTCACTGATTCACTTTTAGAGAGCACAATATATATTTGTTAATCCTTTCATTTAGTAAGTACAATATACATTTTCCTAAAATAGACTTTAGACTACGAATATGCAACAGGCAGCCTGTGGGCCAGAAACAACATGCGAAGCTTTTTAATCCAGCTTACAACAATTAAACTTTAATTGCAGAGAAAATAAAAATTCATAAAAAAAGAGATTTTATTTTGTTTGTCTAATCTCTATGAAGTGATTTTCAGGTAATACAGAGGAGACAAGATATATAAGTTCGAAATTTACCTATGCGCGTGCGCGGTCCATAGTATAATTTCAAATTTTACATTGGGCCCATCAAAAATCTAGCTTTTTCCTATTTTCCTATATAATTTAAATACGGGCTACGCCAAGGTTTCTTATCTTACTTCGACCTGAAAGTCATTTATGTGATTTAGAATCAGTGTAAAACTTTTTTAAATTATATATCATAAAAAATGCTTTAAGAATTAAAGTAATCTTAATTCATTTACAATCGATTACGAATTAATATCATATAATTTATTATACTTGACTAATAGTATTGAGCTCATATCGATTTTTAAATACTTTATTTTTATCACTATTTCAGATTTTTTTATCTTTTTATGTACTTAGCGTATTTTTTTAACTTTGTAATATAGCACTCGAAAGGTTAAATGAATGTAATGTATTATTTTTATGCACATAGTTTATTTCTTTTAACATACATCTGTACATTTTTTGTATCTCATATTTATTATTTATTAAGCTTTAATTTTGATGAAGCTTTTTTTATGAGAAAAGATAAAACTAAAAAAAAAGAATACAAAGATGTCTGTTTTGTGATATATAGAATTCTGAAAAAAGAAATTAGAATTGGCCATCATTTTTTTTTAACAATTTAATGCAAAAATCTATTATATTTACTTATTAGTTTACTAAATTTGGCTTTTGTATATTTTTATTTAGACAATAGAAATTTTATTTTATTTCAATTGATTTTTTTATACAGGAATATCATAAAACGACATATAAATATATGATAATATAAAAGTCGTGTGATTATATTATATTCAAATTGAGTCAAATGAATATATATATATATATATATATATATATATATATACACATGTATGTATGTATGTATATAACAATAATATCCAGGATGTCGCAGACCAGTATCAGTCGAATATCTCAAAAAATGAGCGAGGCAGACAAAAATATTTCAGACAAAAGTTGTAAGGTTCCAAGTAACGTATTACACGGCGATGTCCGTATGACTTTGAAAAGTGTTGTCAAGGTCATGTAAAGGTCACCTTGAATTCTGTAAACGGAAATCTCAATTTTTTATTGCATATTCTTGTAGCTCATCTCGAGAGCTTTCCAAAATACTATAACTAAGTTAGTTTTCATTAAGTACTTTCCGAATTATGAGGCTTGAAATCATTTCATAATTTTACATTACAAACTGTAAAATATTCATTCTTTGATTATCTTACCTTAATACTTTTATGTACACAATAATGGGAGGAATCAATTGGTGTAAAGAAAACATACAGTTGTCTTTAAGAAAAAATACGAAATTGTTAATTGCAAATCAAAATTAATATCGAAAGGCAGTTAAGAGCCAACGCAGTTGTAGGGCGTGGATAAAATAATTTCCAAAACAGCGACTTGATTTTAACGATCCATTCGCTTTATTCCATACGTTTCGGACTCGATTCGAGCCTTCTTCAGTGATTCTAATACAAACAAAGAAAAAATAAATAAATCAAATGAGACAGAATAAAAACGCAGTATCAATAAAATACAAAATAAAGGAGAAAGCATAGTCACAAGCATGCATGGTCTATAGAAGTGACGCGACTTCGTCAAGGCTGATCCATCCGAGAACGTACGATGCAAAAAGCCCTCTCAACGGTACAAAGCGCGAAGAGCGATGCACTGACAAAATAAATATAATCAAAACTAGTCACATCTTAAAAAAGAGAGAAATACATTAACTATAGTCAAAGACCACTCACTCACTCGGGACAAGAGACGGACCAGCAGAAACGACACGAAATAATCGACACGCTAACAATCGAATGAGCGGATAATTCGAATGGTAACGGTAATAATGTAAAAATGTGGTCGGCAATAACAAACCATATATACAGAGGACAAAGACAGTCAAAACAGAAAACAACCCGTTAAATTTTCGGCATGTTTTCAACAATCGACAGACATGAAGTATTTAATTTTAAAGTGTCGCTTTGGAGGTTCAACGCATTCTTTTGGCGCTTAATATAAATCATTTCCGATATTAGTCTTTTTCCTAAAAACGCTTCCTCATCCAAAATCTCAACATCCTCGAAATCAAAAGTGTGATTAAGCACTCTATGTTCGGCAATGAGGGACGTAAGGTTTCTTCTATGTTCTTTGATCCTCGTTCTTAGCAAACGGCCCGTTTGTCCTACGTAGGACGCGTCGCAATCTGTGCAATTAATTTTGTACACAATATTACTGCGCGAATCCTTCCGTAAACGGTCCTTGCCGACTTTAATAAATTTGCGCAAATTGTTTATTCCGGTGTAAGAAAGCCTAACATCAAGGTCTCTCACACAGTATCGGAAACGTTCTGAAATGTTCTTCACATATGGAACATTAAAATATGTGATCTTACTTCCACCTCTCTCATCGTCAAACACACTCTCATCATCCCTCAAAGCGTTGTCACGTTTGTTCTTAAATCCATAAAAAAGGATATTGAGCCGATCGACAATTGTGCGAAAGATAAGAGAGAGCGGATATCCATTGTTCAGAAGGATGTTAACAACAATTTCGAGATTTTCTTTATGAAATTTAGGATGAGAAAGCCAAAAGACCTTATCTATTAAACCAATGATCGTGCCCTTTTTCTGGCAAAGGGAATGTCGCGACTCGAAATGGAGGTACCTTCCCGAGAAAGTTGGTTTATGAAACCAATTAAATTTAATATATCCATTCTCTAAAATAATTGTGACGTCAAGAAAATTCAAACGGTTGTCGACGCCCTCCTCAATAGTGAATTACAACCTTGTGTGGAACGAGTTAAAAGTGTTCAAGATAGCATTGAGCATTGAGGAGGGGGCCGCCAACACGATGTCGTCAACATATCTAAAATAAAAGGGAAGATCCATAGGTAGAGCCGCGACCGCCCTTGCCTCCAAATCTTGCAGCGTGATCTCAGCGATAATCGGGGAAAGAGGAGAGCCCATGGGCGTGCCAAATGTTTGTTGATAACAAACATCGTTAAAAATAAAATAAGTAGAATTTAAAATAATCAGAACGTTTCCGATACTGTGTGAGAGACCTTGATGTTAGGCTTTCTTACACCGGAATAAACAATTTGCGCAAATTTATTAAAGTCGGCAAGGACCGTTTACGGAAGGATTCGCGCAGTAATATTGTGTACAAAATTAATTGCACAGATTGCGACGCGTCCTACATAGGACAAACGGGCCGTTTGCTAAGAACGAGGGTCAAAGAACATAGAAGAAACCTTACGTCCGTCATTGCCGAACATAGAGCGCTTAATCACACTTTTGATTTCGAGGATGTTGAGATTTTGGATGAGGAAGCGTTTTTAGGAAAAAGACTAATATCGGAAATGATTTATATTAAGCGCCAAAAGAATGCGTTGAACCTCCAAAGCGACACTTTAAAATTAAATACTTCATGTCTGTCGATTGTTGAAAACATGCCGAAAATTTAACGGGTTGTTTTCTGTTTTGACTATCTTTGTCCTCTGTATATATGGTTTGTTATTACCGATCACATTTTTACATTATTACCGTTATCGTTCGAATTATCCGCTTATTCGATTGTTAGCGTGTCGATTATTTTGTGTCGTTTCTGCTGGTCCGTCTCTTGTCCCGAGTGAGTGAGTGGTCTTTGACTATAGTTAATGTATTTCTCTCTTTTTTATGATGTGACTAGTTTTGATTATATTTATTTTGTCAGTGCATCGCTCTTCGCGCTTTGTACCGTTGAGAGGACTTTTTGCATCGTACGTTCTCGGATGGATTAGCCTTGACGAAGTCGCGTCACTTCTATAAACCATGCATGCTTATGACTATGCTTTCTCCTTTATTTTGTATTTTATTGATACTGCGTTTTTATTCTGTCTCATTTGATTTATTTATTTTTTCTTTGTTTGTATTAGAATCACTGAAGAAGGCTCGAATCGAGTCCGAAACGTTTGGAATAAAGCGAATGGATCGTTAAAATCAAGTCGCTGTTTTGGAAATTATTTTATCCACGCCCTACAACTGCGTTGGCTCTTAACTGCCTTTCGATATCAATTTTGATTTGTTAATTTAGAGGAGCCTTTAACTTTGTTTATTTTATGTTAATTGCAAATTACATATTTTTTCTTAGAAACAACTATATGTTTTCCTTAGATCAATTGATTCCTCTCATTATTTTGTACATAAAAGTATTAAGGTAAGATAATCTAAAAATGAATATTTTACAAAATATTTTACAGTTTATGTAAAATTAAGAAATGATTTCAAGCTCATAATTCAGAAAATACTTAAGAAAAACTTAATTATAGTGTTTTGGAAAGCTCTCGAGATAAGCTACAAGAATGTGCAATAAAAAATTGGAATTTCCGTACAGAATTCAAGGCCTTTACGTGACATTGACAACACTCTTCAAGGTCATACTGATATCGCCATATAATACGATACTTAAAACTTTACAACTTTTGTCTGAAATATTTTTATCTGCCGCGCTCTGTTTTTGAGATATTCGGTTGATTCGGTTGTCTGCGACACTCTGTATATAAAATTATATATTAAATATATATCTAATACTTTCGTTTTCCCGAAATATTTTAAACTTCTTAAGAAAAATGACAAATAGTTTGAGAAACTTGCAAATAAAGTGACAAATTTACAATATAGATGATATTATCCGAGCGCGCATCACAAATCAGTTTCGAGAGTAGTTTTTTCCGCATTTTTTATATAATTGTATTTTTGCGTTTCGAAAAACTCAATTAGATGTTCCACAAATTTTTTATGATATTCATCAATTTGCTCAGCTGTGGGTTTTTCTATTTTCGGCAGCTCGAGAGGACTGCCAACTAAAATGAAGAAACGAAATATAACAATTTTTTTTTATATAGAATAAAAAAAGATAATATTAAGAAAATTTAATATACACATATTATAAGGTATATATATATTAAATTATGAAATGTAGTGAGAACTTTACCGACTACGGTGACAGGTAATCGATTTGGAATAAGACCAAACGAATATTGAAAGAATCCTTTACCCCAAAAAATAACCGGCGGCAATCCTACGATATTGCGAATGTAGTCCTGGATACGTCTTAAAGTCGATCCTTTTGGACTATACACTTGATTGTATAAATCCGTTTCGCCAAACGATAAAACGGGAACTAACGGCGTACTAAATTATAAAATTGTATTAGATTTGAGTCGTGTTCAGTATTAGTATTTATACCATATCAGATCGTATCAATATTCATCATCGTGATATTTTTCATACTGTTCAACTCTTCATACTGTTCAACTCTTTTCTTTTCTCTTTCCTTCTCTCTTATTTTTCTTAATATATGACTTATTCTATCCATCGGCATATAGTACTGGACGGAACATGGAGCTGAAATCATATTGACAGATGTAGAAAGAGACAAGGCGATGTGAGGATAGTAACGGCTTATGGAACTATGAAGTCATGAGACTCTTCAAAATCTTATATATCTTATCTGTGTTTAATCCACTTGTTTTGCATAATAAATAAGCAGAAACCATATTATTAATAATTTGTATATAATATGCTATAAAATATCATTTTTATATGCTGTTTCTTCATATATATAATAATAAAGTTAAACATATATACATATATAAAATACATATATAAAGTTAAACGTCCCAACTTATAAGAATACAGTACTGTTCCCTTTCTCCTTTGACAAAATTCAACCAATGAAAAGAAACTAGAATGAGAGATTCGTTTCCCCACATCTACTTTTTCTTTTTTTCTACGTCTCTTAACACGAAAGAACAAAGAAATTTCCCCGCATGCTCTGTCCAGTGTTATATGTCGATAATTCTATACAATTTAATACAAATAAATATGATTAATGTGAAAATATATCTAAAATATAATTTAATACAAATAAATATGATTAATGTGAAAATATATCTAAAAATGTAGAAAAAAGTAATTAGCCGCTCACCCATGTTTTAAAGCTAGTTTCACGAAGCCCTTTCTCTTTTTCACGATGGTACGGTAAGTACCTGGCAACGATTCCATAGCTTCTAAAGTACCGCCGACAATGAGTATCGTAGCTCTTCCGGTATGAGGGCTCTTTGCCGGTGTCGATAATAAATATTCGATACTTTTCGCATTAGCAGCGCAACAACCTGTTTGAGAACTATTGTCTCTTAATTATGTATATTGAATGTCTTAACAATTAATATTTAACGTCTAAAATGATTTCGTTTTTTTTCTTTTTTTTAAATAATTCTCATAATTTTTCTTAAAATTTCTCAATATTTTTCTTCGCAATACAAAATTATTTCGATAACGATATGTTAAGTCATTTCTCTTGTAAAATTTATTTCTTCTATTAATTCTGTCTAAAAAAAGATGTTAAAAGAGCATTTTTTTACAGACAAGAAAAATCATAACATATGTCACCTTTCATGTTGATGCAACGTAAAATCTTTCTTTCTCAAATACATTTACATATGCTGTACCGATATTGAAAAAAATTATTCAATAGAATATTGAAAGATTTATGAAATGAAAGATTGTACAACCGTGAAAAATAACACCAAGAGTTTTTACCTAACAAATAAGCATATTCTCTGAATAGAGGTATTTTCAAGTGTTGATCAAGAGTAATTATGCGCACGTCTAGTCCAGGAAATAGCTTACTGCAGCCCATTGCATCTGTTGAGAATGAACCCATTATCCCCATTGATAAAATCCCATGGGGTACGCAGATGAAAAGATAAGACTTTTTTGGATCCAGATCGACTGTTTTCACTAACTTCAACGGAAAATAATTACAAAAATAACGCCAAAATACGTTATTTCTCATTCTACTTATCCACGAATAACTGAAATATAAGATATATCTATAATATAAGATATAAGATATAATCATTCTTTAATCGTTAACGCTTCTCATTTTAAGGTAAATTTCTTTTAATTGCGCCTAAGGCCTACAAGTGTCACAACAGATTTATTACATATAATCGTTCAACATCGATTAATTATTTTGAGTCAAAGAACGATAGAAAATTATTTTTATTCTACAACAGTTTTTACATCGACACTTTATATCAGAATCATCTCAAGAACGGCAAAGAAATTAATAAAATTGTATTACCTTCTGCCACCACGATCGCAAGTGTTCCAATCGTAATACATCCAGAGGAAATACAGTAGCATGAAGTAACGTAATGTTTGCGTGTAGAGTAAAAGATAGGCCGTAACGATGTATCCCCAAAAATCGCCGAAGGGGGAAATCAGAATCCATATCGCGACCACCAAGGTCTGTAGTCTTCTTTCCAAAGATATGTTTAACGGCGCGAATTTTACACCCAAAATTTTCATGTTTCTCGTCGGGATTTCGTTTCAAATTGTTAGATTATTGTTAGATTATTGGAGAGGACCCAATCCTTCCGCTTTATTTGCGCTATATCTCACCTGTGATTAGAAACTCCATATTGTATTTTTTTTCTCGATCTCTTCCGACGAGAACCGATTGTGTCGCTTCGGCTGATTGCAGATAAAATTTTATATCAACTAGACGCACTGACGAACGCATAAAATCTGTTTTCAATATGTAAAGAATGGACTTTATATCTCCGTCTTATATATGTGCACTCTTTATGGTTCTCTCTTCATAATCTTCATTCGATGTTTTTCTCTTTTTATTCCGCGTCATTATGTTTACTTATTCGTTTTATGTAACTGACGTTTTATGTACGGATGCAACAAAAAAAGCGAAAAGAGAGAAATATGACAATGCAATTTGAATGCAAGGATTGCGATTGCATGTAAATTTACTCGTTACATTTACATACAATACGCTCATTTGAATAAGTAACGTTTTTATTTTAAATTTTAAATTACTACGAAAGCACATTATTTCTCATAAGAAATTGGAACAATGCCATAGTGACTTCACAATCGCAATATATAAACAATTACTTTACAATATTTTACGTCTTAATCATTGTTAAATGAAAATGTTATGATAATTACATCGCTGTGAATGAACGCAATTCTGATTATCACATGCACATCGGAGAGTTAGAATTGATTGTTATCAAACTTATATCGGTTACAAAAGAAAAAATACCTATTGTTCGAGTATATTTGAATTATGACTTCAATAAAAACAATTGTTTTTAGGGGAGAATGATAAAACGTATTACATAAAAGGGTCATCTGTAAAGAGATAGACATAAAAGAGATAAAAATGTTACATGAAAGAGTCACTTTTAAAGATAGACATGTAATAAATTATGTAAAAATATTTATTATATTTTTATTATATTATATTTTTTACATTAGAATACCAATTTATGTGCATATTTTTATTATATTATATTTTTTACATTAGAATACCAATTTATGTGCATATTTTTTTTTACTAATTGACTTTGTTTTTTTTAACATTTCTATATATACAATCATTTATGGAAATTACTGAATCTCATGAATAATCAGCTTTTAATTGTGAAAAATCAATTTTTAATTTTTAAACAGTTGTTTTCAATTTACTCTAATTATTATGTGAAAAACTTCGAACATATAGTAAAACGAATAATTAAATATTCTTCCGTTGAATATTAACGCGCAAATAATATCAAACCTTTGTGTTGGCTGTGACGTTCGTGTGTCACATGTTTTGAGTTATTGATCTTCAATCGTACGAAAATCACATGCAAACTTTATCAATTCAATATAAAAACAAATAATTATGACCAAGAATCAAAAAATTAAAAATATATAAATCTACTAACTAAATCAAAAAACTAAAAATATATAAATCTATAATTGGTCCAAATAATAAATCAATAATAATAAAGAAGACTTATTTAAGACCAAGAAGAGCACAGGTGATATTGCGTGTTTTATACATCTATAATTAAAAAAAAAACAATTTTTGAAATTACAAACGTTTCGATTCCTTTTGTAACCTCTTCAGTATGACAATAATAATTTAATAGAACATATAAAAGGAAAATTCTCTAGAATAAATAGATGAAGATATAAAAATAAAACAAACGGGAAATAGCACTGTAAAATAGCACAGGTCAAAGGATAAAATTGTAAAAATAAACATCGATATCTCGATCGAGTCAGTGAAGGTAACCAATAAGATTTAAGATTAGATAATACACCAAAGGTAAAAAAATACGCCAAGTACATGGAAAAAAATAAAAAAATCTAAAAGAGTGATAAAAATAAAATATTTAGAAATCAATATGAAATCAATACTATTAGCCAAGTACAATAAATTATGTGATATTAATTCGTAATCGATACTAAGTGAGTTAAGATTACTTTAATTCCTATAGCATTTTTTATGTATGATGTATATAATTTTAAAAAGTTTTATACAAATTCTAAACCGCATAAATGACCTTCAGAATGAAGTAAGATATGAAAACTTGGCGTGCCCCCCCCCCCCCCGCCTCATTTACATATCTTGAATAAAATTAAAAATTTTATTATACAATATATATATATACAAGGTGGGCCATTTTAATCGATGCACCTGAATATCTCCGTTGGTAAGCCGAATACAAAAAAATTGTTCAGACAATAGTTGTATGGTTTCAAGGGGGACATAAGATGGTGTCATTAGTTTGATCTTGAAGAGCCACCTGAAGGTCACGTGAAGGTCAGCTCCAACTTTTTAAATGGGACACCCTATATGCTTTCGCATATTCTTGTAGCTCATCTGAAGAGCTTTCCAAAACACTATAATTAAGTTAGTTTTCATTAAATACTTTCCAAGTTATGAGACTTGAAATCATTTTTTAATTTTACATAAACCGTAAAATATCTTGTAAAATATTCATTTTTCGATTATTTTACCTTAATACTTTTATGTACAAAATAATGAGAGGAATCAATTGGTGTAAAGAAAACACATAGTTGTTTCTAAGAAAAAATATGTAATTTGCAATTAACAATTCCATATTTTTTCTTAAAAACATCTGTATGTTTTCTTTACACCAATTGATTCCTCTCATTATTTTGTACATAAAAGTATGAAGGTAAGATAATCGAAAAATGAATGGTTTACTAGATATTTTATGGTTTATGTAAAATTAAGAAATTATTTTAAGCCTTATAACTCAAAAAGTACTTAATAAAAAGGTACTTAATTATAGTGTTTTGGAAAGCTCTTCAGATGAGCTACAAGAATATGCGAAAGCATATAGGGTGTCCCATTTAAAAAGTTGGAGCTGACCTTCACGTGACCTTCAAGTGGCTCTTCAAGATCAAACTAATGACACCATCTTATGTCCCCCTTGAAACCATACAACTATTGTCTGAACAATTTTTTTGTATTCGGCTTACCAACGGAGATATTCAGGTGCATCGATTAAAATGGCCCACCGTGTATATATACAATATACAGGGTGGCTCATTTTAATTTTCCCAGCCAAATATTTCGGAAAATAATGAAAAATCAAAAAAATGTTTCAGACAAAAGTTGTATGGTTTCTAGGGGGACATAAGATGGTACCATTGGTTTGACCTTGAAGAGTTATTTGAAGGTCACATGAACATTTCTTAAATGGAACCTACATTTTCTCATTACATATTCTTGTAGCTGTTACGTCCGGTGGACTTCACAATTCTGTTCTTTCATCGAAACGTTTCTTAGAAGTAATCAATGATTGGGTTGAATTTAAAATAAAGAAAACCCAACTCGAATAAACAACCAGAGTGGCCAGTCGAGTTAGCGCTAAGAAAATTTAAATAAAAATTTTAATTTACGAGGCTCAGAAATATAAGAAATTTAATCCATGCGTATCAATGGGTCGTCTCAGAGACTTTGAAATAAGAGCCTTGGTGATCGGGAAATTGACCAAAAGGTAAATACGAGCAGAGCCATAAAATTAATATCGCACGTGCGCTGGATCAATAGGCCATTCTCAATCAAATCGTAAGAGATAAGGAAATCAGGTCGCTCCCACTCTCTACTGGATGTTGAAGTCAAACCTTAAGAAAAAGGGCTTAACCAATTAGAGGTCTAAGACACCCTCTCTTCCTAAAAATCTAACTCCTTGATCCCTAAGAAGGAAATAGTAAAAATTTTTTGATTGCTTAAAGAAATTCCCACCATCCAGAAGGGAGGAGGAGCAAAAACTTTAAAATTCAAGAGCCGAGAGCGCGGACATGCAGTTAATCTCAAGAATTTTTCGGCTTGCTCTTTTCCGCATCAGTGCGCCATATATAAATATATATATATATATATATATATATATATATATATATCAAAAAATCTAAGTAACAAAAATCGAAGTGAGTGTGATCCCTGAGGTCCTCTGGACGCTCCTGCTAATTCAAACAACCAATTCTGGGGTCCAGCTTCAAAGTCCGGCCTAAGTCAAATTTTTTCAACGCACTCAACAATTAGTAAGTTCATCCGATTAGTACCCCTCTTTCCTTTTTACCTTCCACGATTAACTTGTCATTGGAAAGGATCATTCTTTTATTTACCACCTAAATCAACAATAACGATAATTGTTTTCGTTTGTCTTCATTTTCGAATCAGCTATTTGAATCTTGTTTTCCAGTTCATTCCTCCTTTATACATTTCCTCGTTCGTTGAGAATCTCCGCAAGGCGATTCACGAACATTTCCTCGTTCGTTGAGAATCTCCGCAAGGCGATTCACGAACATTTCCTTGTTCGTTGAGAATCTCCGCAAGGCGATTCCGTTGCGAATTCCGACGAACATTTCCTCGTTCATTGAGAATCTCCTTAAGGCGATTCATGAACATTTCCTCGTTCATTGAGAATCTCCGCAAGGCGATTCATGAACATTTCCTCGTTCATTGAGAATCTCCGCAAGGCGATTCATGAACATTTCCTCGTTCGTTGAGAATCTCCACAAGGCGATTCACGAACACTTCTTCGTTCACCTTCGATCTCCCTTGACACCCCAATCCGTTTGAATTCATTTTTTTTTATTATTATATATTTTCTCTTTTATCTAACATTTAAGTCCACAATCTAGAAGAAATAGAATCTTTGTGAACTAATTCCTAGTTCATCTAATTTGTAATGATTCTCACCCAATGACATTTATAATAAAATTGGAAGGGTTATATTCGAGCATTCCTAAGTTATTTTTAAACGCAAATTATCATTAGTGCCACCCTCTAAGCGGCGTGCTGCATTACGGTGGCGGAATCGTCGCAACAGACGTTTAAGGAGGCAACAGCCTCAATCCACGGCGGACCTCCCCGATAGAATAGATATTAGCAATATTAATAACTTCACCCCCGTTAACGGCACACACACACACTCACTTCATAGATCTCCCTCGATCCCTCCGCCTAGTTATTCCCTATTTCCTCCCCCAGTACACCTGTTCCCTTTTTGCATCACCTCCCAGATCTTCCACCCCGATCTCTCCCGAGCCTTCCCCTCCCTTTTCTCCCCAACCTTTATTAGCGCCCCGATCCCCGCCTCCCATATCTATAATTACTCTTGATTCCGATTCTTCGTCGGAGGCCTCAGAGTTCCTTGAGGATCCGGAGGATTTCATAGGATATCCTCCTGACTTTGATGAGACCTTCGATCCCTTCGACTTCCCCCCA